TTGGGAGTGAGTAGTACTCTTTCTGTCGGTCTGTCTGACTTGTCGAGGCCTTAGATGGACGCCTTTTGGGACTACACACTGACTGAACTGTTCCTTTGATGTTCCTCATGCCTTTTGTGACTGCAGAGGAAGATGATGATGACGAAAAGACTGATTCATCAGAAAAAGAAACACTTGAAGCAGCGGTTGATATTTCTCTCTTTTAATCTTTTCTCCTGTTTTACGAGCCAATGCTTTCTTACCTTCACCCGCAGCGGTTAGGCGTGAGTCTTCTAACAGCCTCCTCTTTCTCCAGGTGACTGGCATGGGCATGTCGTTGCAGTTCTTTGAGTTGGACACTGTTCAGTGCAAGTTCAAAAGCTTCCATTGATCGGCCTAGACTTCCTTGCATTACATAGAATGGCCCATGAGCTACCAAAGGTCCACATTTTGCTTGGTCATTTTCCAAAGCATAAGCGGAACGTCCAGACTTGAAATAACTACCCCCGTCTTTTGCATTTTACAGCCCGCATGCAGAGGGTCTCCTTCTTCACGCAGAAGTACACACATCTTCAGAGAAATTTCCCTTTTATGGGCCTCTAGTTGCACATAATGGATTAATCAATTCCTAGTTTTCCCAGAAGAAGCTCAAATGATTCCTGGATTGACAAAATCCCCGGGACCCTCTAGAGCTCCACAGCATTTAGGACCAAGGAAGCGCTGCACAACCAGTCCTACCTCACTGAGTGCCGGTCGGTGCAGAGACCCTCAGGCCATCTGTCAGTAGCTGAGATGGTGGCACCAGTTGGGTAGCACCATGGGGCCTGCGAGGACACAGCTCTCAGTGGACAAAACTGAGCCAGCGCTCTCCTAGTGTCCCAGTCTGCACACGTCAGCACTGTGACAAACACGTTCCCAAACGGAATGGAATCTCCCAGTCACTCGACACCATGTCCTGTGTCTCCGAAAGGCCGCCCGCTGGGACCCCTACAGTGCCATGACTGGTTGCTGTTAGTAACTGGCTCTGGTCTGTGGAACCACAGCCTAGAATGCAGCCCGCCTGCGGGGAGAGCTTGTTGTGGTCAGTTCCTTTGGATGCAGAATTCCATATTGAGTCTGTGTGGAAACAAGGCAAATGCTTCCTGTCCACTCCCTCACCTCCCCAGCTCTGGGTCAACACCAAACTCTGTTAGTCCCCAGGGCGTCCTTACTACGCGAGCTGCCCCAGGGTCTATGACCGGGGAGTGGACTCACTCTTCTCTCTTTTTTCCCACTGGGAGCCTTTAGCTGACAGGATCAGGTCCTCCAGCGGCTGAGACTGTTCTGGTCTGTTTACCCTTCTGGAAGAGGAAACAGCTCGCCCTGGAGAAATCTGAAACCCTTCCCTAGGCCTCCGCGTCGCCGTTTGGCAGAATACCCAGGCTCTGGGGACCAGCTCCTCCCGGGTGTGATGGGAACACCACCGCCACCACCTCCTTGGAGTTCGTCTCTCTTCTTTCTGCGAGGCTCTGCCCCAGTTCCTCAGGCCCTGTTGTTCAGGGTCAAGGTGTTTCCTCTCTTTGGCTTTATTTCCTCTGCCCTCTTTTTTCCACTTCCTAAACACAGATGTCTTCATTCTCCGGACAGCATTGCTCTTTTAAGGCCTGAGGTGTGGGGTTACTTGGGTTCTCATGATACAGCATTCCTGGCCCTACCTCACAGAATCATTTCATTGTTAGAAACCAAACCAAGCTCACTGTTGTCAAGCCATTCCGACTCCCCGGGACCTTGGAAGACAGATGGGACAGCCCCTTAGGGCTTCCGAGGCTGTAAGTCTTTCAGTGGAAATTCCATGGGAACAGAAGAATCTTGTATACAAAATCAGTGCTCATCAGAGCAGTCAGGTGATCAAATGATGCACTGCATTGGGCGAATCTGTTGTACAAAACCTCTTTGGAGTATTGAAAAAGCAAGGATGTTACTTTGAGGACTAAGATGAGCCTGATGCAAGCCGTGTTACTGTTAGTTGCCTCGTCTGTGTGAAAGTTGGGACATTGGATAAGGAAGACCAAGGAAGAATTAATGCATTTGAATTATGGTGCTGGCCAAGAATATTAATGGTACCATGAATTGCTAAAAGGACAAACCAATCAGTGTTTGAAAAAGTAAGGCCAGAGTGCTCCTTAGAGCCAAGGATGTTAAGACTTTTTCTTGTGTCCTTTGGACTTGTTGTAAAGGGGAAGGACCTCAAGCTTGGCAAAGTCGAAGGGCAGTAAAAGGAGGATAGCTCTGGACAAAGTGGGTTCACAGCAGTGGCTGCAACAAGAGGCTCAACCACAGAAACGATGGTGAGATGGCGCACGACCGGTGACATTTCATTCTGATGTACATGGTGTCGCTCTGAACTGCAGCAGGCTTGGTGACACCGGACAAGGACTGTGTGCTCTTATCTGACCCCAGGTTTAACCTGTTGCCCTAGTCATGTTTCCAGATGAGCCTCTGCATTTGACCCCTGCCCCTCTGAAATCTTCAACAGGCTCTGTCACCAGCTCCCGGAAGCACAGTGTCCTACAGTTCACTGTTGTCTGAAGTCACAACGTAGCTGCTTGGTCATGGTTACTGTTGGTTTGGTGGCAGGGTTTCTGTTGGATCTTTGAATCCCTTTCATGTTTAAGTCTTTCCACACCGTCCCTTACTATGAAATGTGATAGGGCGTGGTTGCCACGTTCCGCATCTTGGCCTTGATCTTAGCCTTTGAATGGACTTGCATTCTCATCTTCCTTCCGTAGCAGCTGTCTTCCATCTTGGGAAGGACCTAATTATTAGTTAGCAGACTTACCCTGCTAATTATGCTGAAATGCGCTGATAATTACAAACTCTTGTTGTTTAAATTTCTACTTCCCGTGAATCTATATACCCTTTTAGGAACTTCTTTCTCAAAAAACTGACATACAGGTGGAAACCACAGCTAGAGAATGCGGATGAAATGACCAAACCAGCCAGTGTCTCCTTTATGTCATCAGGGAGACAGGTTGCTCACAGCTCAGGCTTTTCCTCGCCAGAGCCCGGGAGGGGAAGGGAGGGACCGGCTCAGCGACACGGGCGGGGCAGTGCTGCTGGAGAAAGGAGCTTCCTGTCATCACTCGCCCTAAAAAGCTCCCTGACGCCACTGTTAACAAACGGTCATTTGCCAGCTTATTGGTAATTCTTGAAATCACTCTTGTTAGACTCACATCACTCTCTCCAAGGTTGCTGTTTATCGAGGTGTTTTACGCAATGAATAGCGACCAATCTGATGAGCGGGGGGAGACAGAGGGAGCCAGCTCGCTGGGGCTGCCACTTGGCTGTGTGATGCGCCTGGAGGAAAGGCTGCCTCGTTTACTACTTCTTCTTGTTCTCAGCATTGAGTTACAGCTGCAGGAGCTGGGCCCTGTCATTCGGAGCGGCGTCTATTCCCACCTGGAAGCTTTTGTGCCGTGCAACAAGGAAACGCTGGTGAAACGTCTCAAGAAGCTCCACCTCAACGTGCAGGTGAGCATCGTTGCTGGGCCAGTCCGCCCCCGTGTGGGGCGTACACAGGGGGCCTGAGAGCTGGTGCTGGACAGAGACGAGAAGGTGCCAGTGGTGGATCCCCTTTCGACAGGTGTCGGCTTAGAGGAGAAAGAAACCAGTGTTCACTGAGTCCGAGATCTCTGGGCTGTTCAGTTGATGTCAGTTCTGTGGCTGATTTGCTTTGCTCTCAACATCTTTATAATTCAGTTTTTTATTCCCAAAACTGGATTTAACGTCTACCTCCGCCACGCTCGTGCAACTTCATCATGAAGACCAGTGGGAAACTCGCAGGACATGTGCATACTTAGCAGGGTGCTGTCCAGGCCTCCCTGCATAAGCCGAGGCCCAGTTCCTCTGCCAGGGGCCGTCCACCGTCTCCTCAGTGTCCCACTTGATGGCGTGGCGGGGTTGGGAAGCCATTCTACGTTCTGTGAGAGGATTTTCAGCACCTCTGCTGCCCTGCTGAAGCCTCGCATGAAATGTTTGAACTCTGTAGAACTTGCAAGTGATGAGAAATGACCCAAATGCAGTTAAGACGAAATGAGGGATGTTTTTTCTGTGAAGTAGAATTTTTAGGGACTCCAGTAAGATGCAGCAGCCCGCAAGAGATATGGATGAAGGTGCTTGTCCTTTCGTGTGCACCTGCAGATGCGGCGACTCTGTCCACTCAGCGCAGCCATGGGCTGAGCTGGTGACCCCAGAGGAGCATGTGGGAGGGTCTGAGTGTAGGCACTGGGCAGTACTGACTGTTGGCGGAGGGAAGCTGCATGGACAGGTGGAATTTACTTAAAGATCAGGTTTGTGGCTGTGCCAACTCCCTTCATATGGTGAGGGCTGGAGCCGCCTCGGAAACATTCCCGCGATAGATAGGAAGCAGAACTTGAAGCAGGGAACCGACTGCAGATGATAAAGTTTCTTCCTAAGACACGTTGTGTGGTCAGAGCTCCTCATGGCCCTTGAGCGTCGGCTTAGCTTTTCCTTGCTTTTCTCTGCCGTGCTTTGTCTCAAGTTGGGGTCTGCACGTTCCACAAGCTTCCTGCAGTCGGGGGCTTTCCCAGGAGCGTTGGGAGGCCCTCACAATGAGTAGATGTGGGTGCCTTCTGAGAAAGGGGATCCCATTGTCCAGTCTCCTGCAACTTGCTCCTTTCGCAGCCCATGTCTATGTATCTCCCAAAGTTAACTTTGTTGTTGTTAAAAGTGTTGGAAATTTATCCGTTTGTACACAGCAGTGCTCAGCTGTGTGACTACGTCCTCGGAAACTCTTATCTTAGTGCCGCTAGATGTTCCTGTGTTGTAACGAGTGGGGGGATGTCCGCTACCTTGGTCTTGGAGACCACCCTTCCAGAAATGGGTTCTGGGCGTCAGTGTCTCTCGTTGGTCTCTTTTTGGGTGGGGGGAGGTTGATGGCAGATCCCCACCATGTGTGTTGTGATACATCTCTATTCATTGGCGTGCATGTGGAACATGTTTCATACTGAAGACTGCACATGTTACATTCCTGAAAGCCCAGCCTTTGGCACGCCAACCTTCTCAGAGCAGTGGCTTCCGTGAAGGAAAGTGAGGTCAGGACTGGGAGGGAGATTGACGTATCAACCACCCTACACCTGGGGCACGAACAGAAGTTTGTTTTGAGCAGCTCCAGGTGGACTTAGTTCTTTGCAAGATGAATATTTGCGAATTGCTCAGTGAAGATTGTCAAAAACACACCTGTTTGCCCTGCCTTTTGTCCCGAAGCAGTACGGCTAAGGGTCTCCCAGCCCCTTTCGTGTCAGACAGGTCCTTGCGATTTTGCTTGAAGCCCAGTGTCCACAGTAGAAAACGGTAAGAGACAGATGCCAGGCCGTGCTTCCCAGTGTCCCACTGCGGGCCCCTGCTACAGGGAGGCTGACCCCAGTAAGCTGCTGACATCGACTTGTTCTCCTGTGACTCTGTTGTAATCACCTCTGTGTTGCTTATAGCTCTAACATAGAGGGAGACATTTTAAGAATGTAAGGGATACTATGAGTGATTATTTGGGGCATCAGGCAGAAAGTGGGAGCCTCCTCGACTAATCAGAAATACGGCCATCCTAGTAGTGCAGCAGGTTTAGTGTTGGGCCACTGACTGCACGGTGGGGGCTCTCTGCTCTGCAAAGACAGACCGCCCCAGAAGCCCCAGGGGCAGTTTGGCCCTGCCCTGCTGGGAGGCTGGGAGTCAGATAGGACTTGATGGAGTTTGGAAACTTGGTGCCATAGGAGAAATGGCCAGGTGTAAACGGGCACATCTTTCACGTGTGTGCACCATCAGTTTCTAAAGCAGAATTTTCACCTTGGAAGACTCAGAATAGATGTGGGAGGTGGGCTTGAGACAACTGTGTGCGTTCGTTCTCCTCAGGATGACCGGCTAAGGGAGCCTCTGCAGAAACTGAAGCTGGCCGTGGGCAGTGTCATGCCCGAACAGCTGTTCAAGTACCAGGAGGACTGCCAGGCGCGCAGCCTGGCCAAGTGTGCTCGGTATGTTCCCTCCTCTCCGCGTGGGTCTCTGCCCTGGACAGATGTCGTAGCTTCTAGGGACTGGCACCAAGGAGCCTGCCACTGACATGACACCGCTGAGCACATTCTACATGGCAGAGCTGTTTTGGTGTCAAAGGAAAGAGGTGCCTGTGGGCTGAGTGTATGGATGTGGCCAGAACACGATCTGGTCCTGGTCAGACTTTGCACATACTGAGCTGGCTGGACTTGAACACAGGTCCTCCGTAAACTGGACGCTGAGTGCCCATGCCATTTCTTCTTTAGTCTCAGGAAGACCTGGTCACCAAACCAGGGCGACGCTTTCCAAATTGAAAGCACGACCTGTGTGGAAAAGCAGTGTCCCAAAGCTCAAGTGGCTAGGGGAGTGCATTGTAGGCACGCTAGATAGACTAAGGCTTTGCTCCGTAAACTGTTCTCATCAGGCTGCAAACCGATGAAGAACGAGAAAGAAACGGGTCCGAAGAAGATGATGATGAGAAGCCAGGGAAGCGTGTCATCGGCCCGAGAAAGAAATTCCACTGGGATGACACTCTGAGGTGAGGTTGGCGGCACCCTGCGCTCCGGCAGACAGCTATGCCCAGAGGGCTCCTGCAGCAGGTCCCCTCCCTGCTGAGTGAGATGTGGCTGGCTGTGTATGGGCAAGCATGTGGTTACTGAGTGTGGGTCCAGAGGGGATGCATTTGATCCTGAATCACCTTCACTTCCGTAGCATACTTTCAGTGAGCTACTCTTCTCATGACGTCCCAAGTCACATGGTTTTGGGCAGTGGAGTGGAAGGTGCAGTAAGTTTGTGTAGATAAAGCCCTCTTTCTTAGCAGGGTTTTCTCCTCCCAGAGAGAATGCCGGCTGCTGCCTAGGCTCTTCTGGCCTGGATGCCTTGATTCAAGGTGTCCAAGGGAATCGTTTCAGGTTGGGGAGTCACAATTGCACAATGAGGCTGTTAAAAATGGTTTCTTCTTGTCTCATTTTCTGAGTTCTTCAGATAATATTCTGTATCATTGCTGTCAGATTTCTGTGCTTTTTAAATTTCAAAAGACCTTAGTTTTCTGTCATTTTGTTTAGAACTTTATGTAATTTTGTAGTCAGATTTATTTGTAAACATTTATCTTTTTAATCCGTTTAGAACTTTGTTATGTAACCTTGTTGAAATCAAGTTGGGATGCTATGAGTTAGAGCCAAATAAAAGCCAGTCTGCTGAAGATTATCTTAAATCCTTTATGGAGACCGAGGTGAAGCCGCTGTGGCCTAAGGGCTGGATGCAGGCAAGGTAAGAAGTGTGCTTCTCTGGACTTGTTCCTCTTCCTTACTGCTGTTGTGAAGTGCACACCTGCTCGAACGGGCACACACACGCACATGTGGGCACAGTTAGTACAGAACTCCTGCACCACCCGTCTCAGGCGATATTCAGCCCATAAAGCACAAAGCGATTCATCATGTGCTCTTTCTTGCACTCGGAATTCCCAGGAGAGGGGAAAGGGCCGAGGGAGGAAGGCTGGGAACTCTGGGAGCGGGCTTCCTGTGGGCCATGTGAAGAAAGTAAGGGACCTCGTTCCAGAGTCTGAGCAAAAAAGGGCTCTGGGAGGGGAGGCACTGCCTGGAGTGGTTCTCTGGGAGCATTTTGAGTAAATAATGTTAAAAATGAGCGAACCTATGCTGCCAGTGTGCTGCACCTGGAATCGGCAGGAAAGATGTGTGGCTTTAAAGAAAAGTTATAAATCCACAGCAGTGTTGCAAACCAGAACCCAGTACAACTAGCTTTGGTAAACAGGCTGGAGCGACTGAGGTCAAACCCGCAAACGTGCGTTGAGTGCTGATGGATGGATCATGACCTTCTGGTAAACCTGACCTGTGCTTTACTTTCCAGAATGCTTTTCAAAGAAAGCCGGCGTGTGCATAATCACCTCACTTCCGCTCCGTGAGTAAAAGCAGACTGCCAAATCCCTTCTATTTCTGTTCCTGCTATATGCTCTCACAAGCTCAACTACTCTGTCTGAAATGCAGCATTGCCCCATTCTTTTAAATGTCGTTTTGAACATTGCCCGTGTGGACCTCAGAGCACATTGATGTTCTTGGGGTGGTTTCTGGAATCGTGGTGGTGACGTTGCTGCCTTACACGGAGGGGCTGTCTCACACGGGGTACAGCAAAGAAAGGCTGCAAATCTCACTGAATTGGAAGTGGACTAGGAGGGGCCCTGAGAAAACCGTGGGCAGGGTTGAATGTTCTCTGATCCTAGGCCTTGGGGCCTCAGTCTTTTTTTTTTCCCCTCCAAGTTTTAATTTTACCTTTTTATTGTGAATTAGGTACAGGCTTGTATATCAGATCATTTTAGCATTCAATAATATATACAACTTCGTAGACCTCCCCGGTGGCTTGCCCTGCCCAACCCCCACCCCCGTGTGTGTGTGTGTGTGTGTGTGTGTGTGTGTGTGTGTGTGTGTGTGTGTCCCTGTCTTCTTCCTGTAGGGTATTCTCCGATCCCTTCACCCAGGTGAGTGCCTGTCTACCCCTGGCCTGCTGCTCCTCTTCTCCCACCCCGGGAGCCATCAGAGTGTTCCTTTTAGCATGAAAACCTTTTCTTGATAGAAATGGATGCCGCCGCCGGTCTCTGTGATTGATACACTTCACTGGCTTAGAGTCCCTGAAACCCGTGCCGTGAGGTGTTTCACCATTTCATTCTTCTTCTTTAACAACGCAAAGCATTCCTTTTGAAAGGTGGTTTGTGCTTTTAACTTGAGAACATTTTTGTCCGTGTTTGGTAAGCAAAGCCTTTCTGCCACCCTGTTGGGTGTGGTTAAATTTGAACGTGAGGTTGCTTGAAGCCCTCTCTTTTCACCCCACAATTGTCACTCCTCACAAGTCTTTGAAGGGAGCCCTTTTAGACAGATTTGTTAGCCTAATTTTTTGCTAATAAATTTACTTTTCACCTTTTAACAACAAAATTTTACCGTCTACATTTTGTGTTTCACAAATTATTAGGCCTTTTTTTCCCTCTCCCCATTAATTCAAATTAGGAAAAATATTGCTTTATTCTCCCATGTAAGTGGAATATTTATGCATGGTTTTAGTCCCCTCCCCCCTCCAAAAAAGTTTGTGCAATAGGAGAGATACATATTCCGCTATGTAGATAGAGGGTAGTCATTCGCTGCAACCGCTTGACTTATCCTCGAAGCACGACTGAAACCACCTCTTTTCCCGTTTTCCACCCCAGGGCAAAGAAGAAAGTGATTCCTGCACCTAAACCTAAAGTGAAGGTAGGTACTGGACTACACTCACATCGAGGTGAATGAAAGGTGGGACAGGTCTCTATCTATAGGTGGCTACATCAATAGGGACCATATTCTAAGATGGGTACTTTACCCCTTGTGTTTGGGAGAATCGATGACTGCGTGCAGTGGTAGATTAGAACAGTGTCATTAAGTGACAACGCTCACCGTCCTACCACGTAGAAAGGCTGGATAAGGCGCAGCACAGCCTTTCTGGGGATGTTTGGGAGAGCAGGACTGTCAGATCTCGTAAGGGTCAGAAGTGGAGAAAGAACTGCTAGCTGGGTCTGTCGCTCTGCCACCCCATTCCACGGCTGCCCTTGGGGACCTGCCTGCTGCCTCCTCTGAGTGCTCCCGTGTGAGACTTGGAAGCGGAGCCTGCGTAGAGTGGCCCTCACACCATAATGTGTTTAGGACTAGGAAGCACATTTTCTGGCTGACCAAGTTTTGTCCTGCTGGGGTAGGTGCTCCCTGAAAATCCATTTGATTTGCCCTCGACCACCACCAGGGACCTAGACCTAAATGCTCGGCGGTCTCTGGCTGCCGTCGTGTTGATTCCAGCTCCGAGAATCCTAGCTCAGCACCGGGAGCAACACGAGCTGCAGTGGACTCGGTCCTTCCCCATGGCTTCTTGTGGGGCGATGGCTTCACCTTGCATGTTCCAGATGCGTTTTCCATTTGGCCATTTGCTCCTGCCGCTCGCTTTTTTAAATAACAGATTTTTGTTTATGTTGTGAATAGAAATGTATCCTAGCTTTAAAAAAATAATAATAATAACCCCCCCTCCCCTCTCACACACACATTTTCTATCAGTATTCCAGAGTATGTATTACACAGAAAACAGAAAAAAACACTAGCTTAGGAACTAACAAGCAAAAAAAATTAATTAATTCTTGGGGCTTCCGGCCTTTTTTTCCTTGGTTTCCCCCGGAGGAGGCCGTTTTCCACCTTGGGCCGTTTTCCGGGACGACCCCACCCCCCGGGCAACCCCCCGTTTTGTCTGTATTGGATGTGAATCATAAAATAGTTGACAGCAATTTTTTAATGTTTTTGAAAGTGCATGGAGGGATTAAAAAGTTCTCTGTCAAACGAGATGCAGCAGATGCAAAAGAAAACCACGTATATTATAACCTTTCAAAATGAAAAATAAAGCTATGTGAAGTTGGATCTTAATGAAGGCCCGTGCTTTGAGGTGTGCTGGGTCCATACTCTGGTCAAGGACAGGGGATGCTCTGCTTCTGCAGGTGTGTCTGCAAGGTCACTTTTCCTTTCTCTGTGGCTCCGGAATAAGCTCTAACTTTCTGGTGAAACACACCTGCCCTTGTATGGGGCGTCCCTGTCCAGCCCTCCATCCCATCTATCTGTCTGACGGTCATTCATCCAGGTGGAGTGCTTGTCAGACTGCCCTGTGGGTTTCTGAGGCTGAGTCTTTACGGGAGCAAAAAGCCGCCTCTCTCTGCTGAGGCCGGAGGTTTCACACTGCTGCCCGTCTCAGCCCACTGTCCCCCAGGCTCCTGCAGTCTGATGCGCCTGCATCCTGCCTAGTAGCCACGTGCTGTTCCGTTGGGTAGCTGTATTATTGTAATTATGAAGGGGAAACATTTTAAAATGCCACAGAACCCTAACTTTATGTTGGTGACCCTGGGGTCTCCTGGGCCATGTCCTGGGATGGGCTGAGCCAGCACAGTGAACGTACATGGGCCACATTCCCTGTCCATCTTCACAGGCGAGGGTGGCCTTCCCACAGGTGCACCTGGCACTTCTGGTGGGTAGGCAGGGAGGGTGTTAGAGGACATGCTCAGAAACACTGTGAGGGGCTACAGAGGGGCAGTTCCAGCAGCCCACTTCCTGTGCTGCTTGAGAAGGAGCCCCTTCCCCAGACGCCACCTCACTACTTATGCGCCTGGGATCGTGTCCTCCTGTGCTGTGTAGGAAGGAGGCTCCAGCTCAGGGCCATTGTGTTTGCCTGTCCTTTATGTTTTGAAGAAAGTACTTTTAAAAGCAAATCCTTTTAGATAATGGCTTTATTTCTCCTTGATCTTAGAAAGAAAATGAGTCTCTTTTTCTGCAAAAAAGCCATTGATTTTTAATGTATTTTCCCTTTGAATAATTCTGTTCCTTGAATTTTTAAGCAAGGTCAATTTTTGTCCCATCCTTCCATACAATCTTAGGTATCCAGAGACGCCTTTGTGTTCTTAGCACCGGGCACTCAGCACATGGGTGCTGACTAGATTACGGAGGGCTGTGATGGGGGACCCTGCGCGGAGCACAGTGGGCCTGCTGCTACCGCCGACATCATTGCCGGTGTCGGCTCTCTCCTGCTGGTGTCCGACCAGAGCGGACAAAGTGGGGACACAGCCAGTCTGACCAGGCGGTCAGCATCTTAGCAGATCCCACTGGGCTGGGAGCGGGTTGCAGGGGTTGTCTAGCACAGGAGGGTCAAGGAGACTAGATTAAGGAACCTCCCTGGCTGGGGTTGGGGGTGGGCATGGAATTGTATCTGAAAATCTGATACTAGGGGCAGGGCTTCGTCAGTAATGTGACTGCGACCCACCTTGGTTTCCTGCCCTCTCTTCAGTGAGGCTTCCTTCGGCAGACTCAGCGGGGCAGGTGTGCACCCTGTGCCAGACCCGTGGCTTGAGTGCACAGGAGCTCTGTTCTCAGGAAGGTGTTGGTCTGGGCCCTCTCTACAGACTTCCAGCCGAAAACAGTTTGACCATCACGAGCATTTCTCTTTCCTTTGAACTGGGGTGCTTTTTAACTTTGTGCTTACTCTTGTCTTTCCCCATCTGATGCTGTTATCCTAGGAGTGCAGTCCAAAAAAGGACCAGAAGACTCCCGGTCCCGGGGCCCCTCCTGTGGGCCCTTCCGTGGGCTGCAGCGGGACCATGGCCTCCACCAGTGCCGCTTCGGCCGCAGCCCAGGAGACCATCTGCCTGGACGACTCCCTGGATGAAGACCTGGCCTTCCACTCACCCTCCCTGGAGCTGGTGTCTGAGGCGCTGGCGGCCATCAACAATGGGAGCAAGGGCCCTGCTGTTAGCTCCCGCATGAGCGTGCTGCCCACAAAGCCCCGGCCCGGCCTGAGAGAAGAGAAGCTGGCGAGCATCATGAGCAAGCTGCCTCTGGCCGCTCCCAAGAAGCTGGACTCGGCTCCCACGGCCCACTCCTCCAGCCTCATCGCCGGCCACAGCGGCCTGGCGCCAAAGAAACCCCCGGAGCTCGCTCACACCGCCATCTCATCAGGCCTTATTGCGGGGGCCTCCATTCAGAACCCGAAAGTCTCCCTTGAGCCTCTGCCGGTCCGGCTGCTCCAGCAAGGGCTGCAGCGGTCAGGCCAGATCCTCACTGCCCCTTCTTCGCAGCCCCACATCACTGCCTCCTCGTCTCAAGCCCACGTCACTGCCTCCTCTCACACCCTGGGAGCCTCGGAGGCCCAGGAGGCCGCCTCCCTGGCACAGGCCACAAAGGTGCACCAGCATTCAGCAGTCCCACAGAACTATGTGTCCCCACTGCAGGCGACCATCAGTAAGTCCCAGAGCAACCCCGTGGTTAAGCTGAGCAGCACTCCCCACGTGTCCTGCTCTGTCCCTCTGATGAAGTCTGCGGACAAGCCGCTTCTGTACCGCCTGCCCCTGCCCAACCCCTCATCCGGAAATGGGTCCGCAGGGCCCCACCCCCTGGCCTCCAGGGCAACCCCGAGCACCACTACCTCCAGTAACTATTTAGCCAAGGCCATGGTGGCGCAGATCTCCACGCAGGCTTTCAAGCCTCCTTTCTCAATGGCCGCCTCCCCCAAGCTCGCTGCCTCTCCGAAGCCTGCCACGTCGCCCAAGCCCTCGCCTTCACCCAAGCCCTCTCTGTCCGCCAAGCCTTCGGTGTCAACGAAGCTGACGTCCAAATCCAACCCAGCCCCCAAGCCCACCGCCTCCCCGAGTTCTAGCAGTCCAAACGCACTCGTTGCCCAGAGTGGGCCCTCAAGCAGTGCTGGCAGCAACCCCGGCCACAAACAGCCCAGTGGGATGAGCCTCAGCAGACACTCTCCCACCCTGAACTTACTGCCGGCCCACCGCACTGCCGGCCTCCCGGCCACAAAAGCCCTCCCGGCCTCTTCCAAGCTCACAAACTCAGCTTCCATGGGATCTGCTGGCAAGAACAGCTTGAGTGGAATTGCATTGAATGTACCTGCCAGCAGAGGGGGCACCCTTAACTCAAGCGGAGCTGGTAGGACTAGTCTGTCTGGGGGGACAGGAAGTGGAACACAGGGTGCTACTAAACCGTTGTCTACACACAGACCGTCCTCTGCCTCAGGGTCTTCGGTGGTAACAGCCAGCGTGCAGGTATGTACGGTGCGCACGCCCCTGGGCCAGCAGGGAGGGTGGCGCCGTCCTACCTGTTAGTCGGTCTGATACCAGGCTGGTGATGGCCATGGGGTGCCCTCCGTGGTCCCGCCACAGGTTCTTTGGGACGATGTCTTGTTGGCAGTGTTTTGGTTGGGTTCTGTTTTCCCCAGCCAAGGATCTCCCAGCTGAAATGCTTGTTCACACCTGATCACTTATCACAGTGCAGCCGCCGCCGCTTAGGAGCCCAACCGATGTTCTCGTCTCCGCCCTTCCTTCCCCGCCCCAGCCCCTCTCCTGCCAGATTGATGAGGGGGCTGCAAAACATTCCTGGAAAATGGAATTAAAAGGGCAGTTTTCCACTGACTTTTTTGAAGCTGCTTTGTATTTTTTATTTAATCAGGTGTCTGAACCTGTACTACTCTCTAAGCCATGCATCTTTCCAAATAACATTGTCCCCTGCGTCGATGTTGCAGTCACTTAGCCATGACTCTGTGTCACACTGGTCCCTAGTCCTCCTGTGCCACGGTTTGTCCGAGCCGAATTTGTCATTCAAATCCCCCTTCTGGCCGGCCGACGCGATCCTCTTGAGCATGGCAGTGGTGTGCCTACCACATGCGTTCCCTGGGCCCTCCTGGATGGGCAGAGGGCCCGGCTTGCTCACCCAGTGCTCCAAACGCTCACCCAGTGCTCCGAAGGCCCTCCCTCGTCTTCAGGTAGAGGATTGAATAGGAGGCTCCCGAGGCCACCCTGACTTTTAGGGTTGTTCCCATATAATCAATACGTTTCCACAGCCTACATGCTAAGGTTTCTCCACATGTCCCCAAACCATGCTGGGATTGCCTGGTTTTTAGTGATTTTAGACCCAGAAGGTAATCTCAAGCCTGGCTTTGGTGTGTTTCTGCACCGCTTCTCAAGCTGGGTTGGCTGGGGAGGCTGGAGCCCCTCTCTGCCTCTCCGTCGCCACCCTGACACTGGGTGTTGGAGGTGGCCTCAGCTTCGCCCTCCCATGACTGGTCTTACACATGCAGGGAAGAAGAAGGTCACCTCAGCAGTTCCTTTGTCTTGGGGCGTAAGAGCCTGGGGGTGTAGTGGCTTCACCTTGTGCTGCAAACTACAGTGTCAGTAGTTCGAAATCACCCACTGACCCTTAGGAGAACGAGGAAACATTCTACTCCTGTAGACAGTCAGTCTCTGAGAGCCATGGGGTAGTCCTGCCCGGTCTGGTCCTGTAGGATCGCTATGAGTCAGAATTGACTGATGGCCGGGAGTTTGGCTACTGGTTTGGTCTGTGGAAGTGTTTTCACTTCAGGTTGCTCCTGCGTAGATCATAGTTGACCGTGGATAGCATCTCCCCTTGGCTGGTTACACAGCTTGTGGGCCTCCCACACACCTGCAGCTCCAGGTCCCATTCTGCCGTTGGGGAGTCCTAAAGTTGAAGGACCTTCAGCTCACTATTAGCTCAGCCAGTGAAATCTAAGGGCAGCGGGTATTTCATCTGCTTGCTTTTGCTTTCCTCTGAAGCGCGAAGACAACAAAACAGGCACACGGGCTCTAAGAATTGCGTGTCGAAGTCAGGAATGTCTTGGGAAGGGTGGGAGGCAGTCTATTCCAGTCCATGTTCTCTATTCAGAAGTTGACTTTTTAAATGAATCTTTATGCTGAGCCACAGAGCAGGGGACAGATTGTATCAGAAATAGCAGCTCCCTGCCTGGTGTCCCTCCCAGGTACTGCCTGCTCTCAGCTCTTGACTTTTTCCTCTAGGCATTCCCAAGTCAAAAATCTGGATTTGCCTTCTTACAGTGATTGGGTTTTCATTTGCTCCCTGGAATTACATAGTTTTCTTTGAGTATCATTTCTTGTTCCCTCCTTTGTCACCGCTTGGGTCTTCCTGGTTCAGCCCTGACATTCCCGTGTCTGTTTCCTCATGGAGAACGCTCTGTCGGTGAAGCCCCCTGGAGCGCCTCGCGTGACGAGTACCCGCTTGTCCCTCGCGCTGCACTGATGCTGCTCTGGGTCCTGCGGTCCCGCCCGCACAGCTCATCTGCGTTTCCTCTCAGGTCGACTCTGTCCTGTAATGCCCGGTGTGCATGCTTTAGCTCAGCGCCTCCACCCTGCTGGTCACACCAACAAGGGAGCCCAGCTTCCTATGGCGCTGCAGACCTTGTGAGGGGGGCTGCCTGCTCTCTGCTCCTCCAGGGTACAGGCCCCATCCGGCCTCAGACTGATGTTAGCCACCTTCTGGCTTTAGGCCAGCGGTGCTCAACCTGGGGGTCAAAGGACCCTTTCACAGGGGCTGCCCGATTCATAACAGTAGCAAAATGACATGAAGTAGCAACGAAAATAATTTTAAGGTTGGGGGTCCCCACAACATGAGGAACTGTGTTCAAGGGTCTCGGCATTAGGAAGGTTGAGGACCACAGCCTCAGGCCTTTAGCTGTGCTTTCTCTTCTATGACTTCCCACTGAAGGACTCCTCTCTTGCATTCAAATGGCCAAGTTTCCTGTGCATCCTGCCTCCCACGGGGAAGCCCCAGCGCTCACCTGTACGGAAGAATTGTCTCTCCTGCATCTGTGCCAGGCACTCCTCTAGCGGTGCCCCACAGGGTGGGCAGCACTTGGGTCCCTGCCCTCGGGGAGAACATAGACCAGGCAGGAAGGTGCAGAGACAGAGCTTTGGAGGATGTGCCTGTGCTGTGGGAGAGAAGCCGGGCAGCACGGCCGAGGCGTGGCCACTGACCGTCGCAGTGGGACTGTCGGGGACTCAAAGCCCCTTCTCAGAAAAGCTCGCTGCCATCAGCTCAGTTCCACCCACCGCGGCCGTGTAGGACCGAGTCGAACTGCCCCTGTGAGGTGCGGGTCTCTCAGTCTTCACGGAAGCAGACAGCCTCCTCTTTTTGCCGGGGAAGCGCTCTTTGAAGGCTGCGCTAGAGCAGGGGCAGCTGTAGGAGGAGCCGCTGGGGTAGGAAGGATTGGGAAGTGATGGCCAGCAGGGTGACCATAGGGAGAGGCCGAGGTCAGGGAGCAGAGCCACTTGTTCTGTGTGGTGGGAAACCTTCAGAAGGGTCTTCAGTGGCCGTGGGTGGCTGACTTGCAGCTCAGGGACTGTGGGAATGGCAGAGAGACTCACTGAACAGGAAGGAGTCTGTGATCTAAGGACCAGGGGTAATGACCCACCAAGAAGAGTTCCCCGGAAATGGAACATGGGCCTTGTCCTGAACTGCCCGACTGTGTCCTGCTCACAGCTCTGTGCCCTTCTGAAGACCCGTAGCACCCACCCCTGCAAGGCCAAGAACGATCTACGAAGGGCCACCTGATGTGGGGGTGATCTGATGTTTCCATTTTGCTTTAGAGACACATGTGCACGGGACGTTCTTTAAAGTGTGTCGGGTAGGTCAGGTCATCGCTCTCGTGTTTCCAGATGCTCAGTTTTTGGAGTTGTTGCAGGTGGTGGTGCCTGTCTAGTTTACTGCTTCTTTCGAGACAAGACCATTAGTTCCCTCCTCACTAGGACCCTGCGGTCCTCACAGGGGACTGCACTCAGGCACAGCCTCAGAGGCTCCCTGCCATCCTCTCTGAGATGACCACTTGACGCAGGGTCATTTCTGCCCAAGTTGCTTCAATGCATTGTGCCTGGCTGACTTTTTCTCTCCTGAATGCACCGGTCTGTGTGTCATGGCTGGCACGATAGAAGGAAAGACTGAGTGTACACATAAAGCCAGGGAGGCTTCCTTTGTGTTAGGGAA